TTCTCTTCTCTTCTCTTCTCTTCTCTTCTCTTCTCTTCTCTTCTCTTTTTTCTTTTTTTCTGTGGAAGTAGGTGGTTGAAGGCACATCATTTCACTTCTGCTGTTTCTCTGCCATGACTTACACAGGGAAGAAATTAACTCCTAGCAACTGAAGGCTGACCATGTCAGATCCACCAACCTTCACAAGTGTTTCATTTCATCATCCAAAATAATGCCAATGTTCATGGAAAGCCAAGAATTTGACAGAGGAGCATACCAGTCTTCAGAAAATGTGGTTCTCCAATTAGGAGGGCCAATAACCATCAGGCCTTAAATGTACCAATAGGGAGATACAGAATGGAAAGACAGAGCAAAAACAAAACAAAACAAAAAACAACACCAAAAATATATGTACAGCTGCAATCACCAGTATGATTGCCCATTTACCACTTCCATAGGGTACCAGGTAAAAAAATAAATATCTCCCCAATTTTCTGAAATGACTCAAAGGAATGGGAAAAGTGAATGCAAGTTTTGTATTTCCACAAACATTTGTGATGACTTCTGAATATGTTTGCTTAGTGTTAGTTTGATGACAGCCTGATCTTGAAAGAGAACATGTAAGACTCTGTGATGAGTCTATCAAATCCATAATGAGGAAAAGCTTATGAAAAGCATAATGTCTAGCTCTTGCATATATACAGTTTGGCTGCAAAGCAGTCATGTCCTGATCACCCTTGTGTTGTTGGGATTACACGAATAATAGAATGTTTCCCTCACTTGGCTGATTAGCCTTCAGCAAATACTCTCTGCAAATATTAGATTACCAGAGCGGAGATTTTTCAATGCAGTTGGTACTAGTTGAACATCCTGTACCTAAGTGTCTTGAAAGAGTTTTTTTGGAGCATTTCCAGGATGTCATATATTCTCTTAGCAGAGACTGTTCAGATCTGTCCTGTCCTGTTAGCACACAGCAAAACATCATCATTCCACCAATAGCACAGCTTACATATGCTTTTTGCATCTCCTCTAAACGATAAATTCTACAATGGTCAAACGGCACCTTACCGTACCACACAAATGTTAAATTAATTCCTTCTTTACTATCTCCTGTAAATGTTTATCTGGACAAAATATGACATAATGACTGACATTAGCAGGATTGGGAAGAGGAAAACATCTTAGGACATAGGACTTATGACTCTGACAGATATGTGGCTGCAAATATTTTGCAGAGGGCTAAGATTGTGCTGCTCTACTTGCCTGCTCTGCTGCATTGCTCAGGGTCAGCATCCTCGGGATCAACAGCAGGACAAAACAGTATGTGGCATTGCCATAGCTCTAGCTGAGAATCAAATGCATGGCATAGCAGAACCAGCTCATGGAGTAGCTACATTGGTGACAAGATCCTGGATTGTGGAGGCACGCAATGCCTGATCTGTTTTCCTGACTTTCACACACAGAAAAGTGTCTGATGTGGGCAGCAACACAGAGCCATCTTCAGCCACAGTCACTGTATATCTGCTCTTCCTTGGGAACATCCTAGCTTTCAATTAAAATACAGTCAGTGTGATTTCTTGTGTGTTAAGAAGGACTGAGATATCTGAGGAGAAGAGTTAAAAGGGGTCAGTTGTCTCCAATATTGTTAATAGCTTTTGCACTATACCTCCCATAGACCTATTTCAAGGTCTTCTCCCTTCAACTTCTCGTATTAGGCATCTAATTAACTGGTGCTGGTTGGGATCATAATTTATTTATTTTTGCTTT